TGTGTGTGTGTGTGTGTGTGTGTGTGATGCTGAGCCATTACCCAGCTTGTAAGCTGATTATAGGAAGATGTGTTCAGCAGAAAACTTTTTACATTGCACAGTGGAGGATGGTAGCTGCTCCCTCTTTGATACAGCCAAAGCCCGGCACCAGGTTAGAAACAGATTAACAGACTACAGCTCTTAGTTTGCCATTAAAAAGACATGAATGCACTACACACTAACTGGATGTTTGCTGCTTCAATCTAATCCTGCACCAGAGGAGGTGCACAATTCGTTTTGCACAAACATATGGATGGGTGACAGATTAAAAGAAAAACATGACATAAAGTGTAATAGAAATCCTGCAGAACAGCTTCAGTGCTCAGAGATTCTCCAAGTATCTGCACTGTTTGTGTTGACATCATGCTCCTGATATATCTCCACTCATTTAGAGTTTTGATGAAAGTACTACATCTAAAATCTTGTGTGTGTGGTTCATTGTGTTGAGATGTGAGGACTGAGAAGGCAACACTATTTGATTCAAATGAATTGTCATACTCATTAAACCATTGTGTGACCTCTTGTGCCCTGCATATCTGTATTCGTTGTGTTTCTCCACTTGCGTGATCCGATTTTCCATTCATTTGTTTCACTTCTGTGTTTGGATGAGTCTAACAAATAGCAAACAAATTAATGCAACCTTTAATGGCAAAAGATTTCCATTATAAAAGCATTATGAAATGAAAATGCAAATGGCATTTGTTTATTCAAACTTTCTTTTTATTATTTCTTTTAAAATGTGTCTTCAGCTGTAGGATTGCGGCACAGGTGGAATGAGCTATGAATATGTCAATATAGCAAAAAAATGTTACAACCATTCCTCAGTTAATGTCACAATGATGAAAAATTGATGATTCCCCTAAAAAACACTGTAAAGCAAGTCATTTAATCTGTGCTGATTTAATGGGATCTCCCTGTTCCCCTCTCACCTCTCTGTCTCCCCCACTGCCTTCATTCAGACTGACTGGCAGGAGGCCGAACAACCTGCTCATTCCAAACAGTTCTACATTACCAGATTTGTCACCATGGCAACAAAGCCCGAGGCCTGGCAGGAGCAGGGTCCCGTCAACTCAATAGACAAGCAGGTCAATGAGTCCTGGGCCCAGGGGGAAGTGGGTGCAATCGTAGGCCTCCACAGTTCCCCTCTGCAAGAGAAAAGAGCTCCCAGGGCAGAACCCGAAGAGGACATAGACGACCTGGAGCCTGGAGCTCAAGGCCAAACATCCTCAAGAATTCAAACAGGGGATGCAACAGAAAACAATCAAGAATCAACAACCACCAGGGAAACGCTAGAAACTGTGACAGAAGAAGTTCCCAAAAACTCAGAAGCATCACAGGCTGAGGAGGAATCTGTAAATCCAGCTGACGTATGTGGGGATGCTTTCCCAGCCCCGCCTCCTCCCATTACCTCATCAACGGATGAATGCTTAGAGTCCAAAGGGTTTTCTGTTCTAGTGGAAGAGGTTTCTGATTGGATCAGTGATGCTAATATCATCTCCGACCCTGCAGAAGACCTCATGTCTCCTGATAAAGAATGGGCCCACACAACTCAGCTCACCGAACTAGTTTATCAAGAGTCAATATCTGAGGAGATGACAGCAGATGATATGGCAGTGGAGGAGAATGACACACAGCTGCACTTCTCTAAAGCTTCTGACAACAGTGAACCTGAAAATAATTTATCTGGCTCTGCTCACCACTCGTCCTCTGACAGTAACAACTCTGATGATGTACACTCGCCTCCTTTTGCTGATGAAAGTGAGGAAGAAGAGGAAGTAAGCATGGATATTGCATCTTGCAGGCAGGAATGGAGTAGACTAGATATCAGGAGCAAGCCTCTCCAACCCTCATACTCCAGTGTCAATGACCCAACGTCACCACTGCCTGCAGTTCCCTCAGCCAAACAGCAGGGTGAGCTGTTCCCTCAAAGCCAATGTGCACTTGCCCCCAAGAGAGCAAACCAGGAAGCTGCACAACAGGTGCAAGGCCAGAGCTCTCCACCTTTGTCGACCGTTGCCATGGAGCCGTCCTATCAGGGTGAGGCAGTTTCTCAATGCTCTGGGTGTATTGAAGCTGTGAGAGAGAGGCACGGCAGGGCGGGGGAAAGCACAGAGGGAGAAAGCGACCAAACTGGTGAGGAGGAAGGGCAGAAAGAGAGTGGACCCGACAGGAGCAGGGCAAAAGGGCAACACGGCAGCGGACTGTTAAGATCGGTCCAACGACAGGAGAGATACATGATGGAACAATACAGCCATGGGGTGAATTTTACATACAGGACACACAACAGAATGGAGAACGACTTTTGTGAAGAAAGCCAGAGCGACAGTGGAGTATCAGCAGACTTCTCCCCGTGCAGCACTTTGGAGGGCTGCAGTACCATCTCCATGGGGACTCCAGCATCCACAGAGACTCCCATTGAGAGGGAGATGCGACGTTCTATAGAACGTGAACACAGCCTGAGAAGGTCCAGAGGACTTACAAATCCCACCGATTCTCTAGAGTATGTGGAGATTCCTATAAGAAAAAACATTCTCTCTCAGTCGCTCTCTCTTAATTCTGAGATGTGTCAAGGCAAAGACAAACAGTTTGCAGGCAAAAAAATGCAGCAGGAGATCCATGAGGAGACCCAGAGAGAACGGGACCTGGTCGAGCTTGGGAAAGTTCCAGGTATCTACGACAAAGGCACAGTGCGCCAACTCAAAGAAAGAAAACAAATTTTTGAGGCCTTTCAGCAACCCAGTGACTCGACTTTAACTGTCTCCAGCAGGAGTAAAACACTGTCCTGGTCCTCAGCCAATGACGTTTCAACCGTGGAGGAGAACCAGGAGGATACCTTGTCACAAACATCCACAATAGATGACTTGCATGTGGAGAGGAGACAGAGCATGTTAAGTCCCCCAGTGAGCCCATACTCAGCCAAAGGAAGGCATTCAACCTTCTCAACCCCACCAGGAATGGGCTTCTCCAAGGACATGGGTCACCAGTTCACCATCATTGACAATAACCTGAGCGTCCCAGCTCAGAAAACCTACCATGCCAAACTTGAGGCAGAGCCTGTCACCACAGTCGACTCTGGAGGTCCAAATATCTATGATGGGATCATCGAGGAGGAGGAGGAGGAGGTGGCCCCCAAGGATAACCCCTTTTTCAAGCTGCGCTCCTCGACAAATGTGGTCAAAGTGGAGCAGGATATCTGGGAGACTCAAGAGCGGGAGAAGGAGCTCCGTAAGCAGAGGTTGAGCCTGTACGGGCGAAAAGGGGGTGTAAAAGGAGGAGGAGTAGAGAAGCCTGAAGAAAAGATTCCCACAATGTCTGGTCAAGCTGTTCCTTACATACCTGACTCCTCGTCCAGTTGGAGAAACGGACCCTCAGCAGGTGAGTGAAGCACAGAGTATTGATTTAGGGTAAAAGGTGACAGTGTGCTTGTGTGTGGAAGCTTGGGAGTGTGGATGTGTGTGTAATTTTTGTATCTGATGATGATGAAAACCCTCCCTGAAACAGCCCAGTGAGCACATTACTTACTTTTTTCTTATGGTCAGTGGAAAACCTCACAACAGATTTCAAAACCAGTGTTTGCGGTTACCGGCAATAATTCTGCACCGAAGGCCGTGAGACTCTGTAGCTGCAGTATCTTGTGCTGTCATATTAAATGCAGAAGCTGAGGTGGGGAGAAGCTCAAGTCATATCTCAGCACTATTTTGTCAGCCACAAAGGATGAGTCTCATTTTGGGGATAAGGTCTAAATCCAGCATTCATAAAGTGCATGCAACTTGTTTTAGTTCTTTTGGTGATAAACAGTTAGTCTAGAGACATATGTCATGCACGGGGCAGCAGCCTACAGAGAGGTTGGGTTGTGTTTCATCTTTGCTGCCACTGTGTGCATGTGCTGGGCAGCAGTGATTCACAACCAGGGGTACTTGTTACCCAGATGCCAGGGGGTGTGTGGAAAAATATTTGTGAAGTCAGATACATAAATTTTAATCTGATTAAACAATTATATCCACATATTGAGTCAGCTTTAACACATAACACGTGGAAACTAAGAGTGTGAAAACTGGTTATTCAGCAAGCATAGAGAGGTCTTACCAGTTATTCACAAAAGGTTCAGCTTGTCAGGAAAAATCGATGCATAAATGTTTGAAATGGCCAAAGGTAACAGATACATTTAGAAACTGCTACTACTAATGGATTCATATAATACTACTGGATAAATGGATACAAATATACATAAGATAAAATGTATAAAAACCAGGATGGCAGCCAGTGGAGATCATACTTCCACCAGGGCCCAACAAGATCCAGATTTTTATCCATGTCTGCACCAAATACACACATTTTTTAAATATCAGTCCTTAAAACATGTTTAATTTTTTTTTCTCGTCAAGATCCATTCTGCTGATCTGGATCCACACCAAATTAACTGGGTTCTTTCTTGGGTCATGTCCAACCCCTCCACAAAACTTTATAGAAAGTAGTTTTCAGTAATCTTGCTGACTAACAAACAAACCAAAACCTTTAAAATGTAATCAATGAGATAATTAATAGAAGTTATGCTGCTGCTTTAGCTGTTGAGATAGAATAGAACATTGATTGTACTCAAAGTGTAGCACAGATGCAAATGTGAACAAAGCAACCTTATAAGTACATTTGATTAAACAATTATATTTATATACAATCATTTGTGTTGATTACATCAATTTTAGAAAGCAGTGGTCCCATTTGGAGCATAGTGGGTGGCTGATGACCACTGACTGAGTGTTTGATTGTATTTTTGTGTGTGTTTTGTTGTCAGGAAACGTTGCTAATGTGTTTTTTCCCTTCTCTTTGTGACTGTATGAGAATGTCTCCAGTCTTTGTCGTTTAATAAATGTTTGACATTTAATAAATGATATAGGTGTGTCACTGCAGGACTGAATGACCATGACTCATTGTTGGGAAATGAATTGTTTTATATTGTTTCATATGCAACGAGTTGTATAACCTGTTTTTCAAAATACATTCCTTTCTGGCAACCTGCTTTCTGTTTCCATTGCTCCATGTTCATTTTCAATAAAACTGAATTCTCAACCTTATTCCCTCTGTATCCCTGCCTGTCTCCTCTCATCTCTCTCCGTCGCTTCAACATGTTCACTCCTAATTTGATTCACTGAGGCTTTATTGTTCGTAGTGCGGATCACAAACAAAATACAGGAAGAACTTTGCCCCATTGTGATAACTGCCTTCACCCACCTTTTATTCTTTCTCCTCCTTTGTAGCACAACAGTCAGCTGGCAAGGTGAGCACATGGCTGCCGGCCCAGGCTGAAGAGGAGAGGACTACTCAGCAAGAGGTGAGCCCGTAAATCCAGACACAGTGAAGTGTAGACATAACTGTTTCCTCTATGTTACTATTTGCACTGAAGGTTTGACCACGTGGGAAAACAGAACAAGTATTTTTTTTAACACATTTTAACACATCTACCTGTCTTGCTCACTTGGTATAGGATGTAAATGTAGGCAAATCACCTTTCTGAGTCACAAGCCCTTTCTGAGCCCTAATTCTCATGTCCAGGAAGTCAAAAAAATATCACGTTCAACCATACACTGTATATAAAGATGGATGATTTGTCCCCACTGGATGTTCCAACATCATTTTCCCTTCCTTGTATCCTTCTCCAATACTTAGCCGATAACATGTACCGATCCAGTACCAGTGCATTTAAAAAATAACACCTGATATAACTTAGGGTATTAGCAGTATGCTACCAATCCTGTATGGAAGGGATGAAGGCTATTATTGTTGTATGGCCTATTGTTTGTGTTGTGACTGGCCATACTAGTGCCACCCATCGAAACTGAAGTCTTGCAACATCGTCATTTTTTTCTTTGTGTGACTTTCCAAGGTGAACTATTACTTGCTGACATTTTAGCTAGCTCCGGTAGACGCTACACTACTGGAAATCATTTCTTCTTCACTGCTCTAAAAACAACACTTGCCAGAGGACGTGCAGTTACAATGCCACTGGGCACGTAACTGGGTGCCTACATTTTTGGAAGTATTAAAGGCATTTCCAATGCTGTTATCGGTACGGGAACATGTCTCATCTCCATCTCCTCTCACTGTCCAGAGAAGAAGCCAAAATATGTCTGTTTTTTTGGTCTCAAAATTAATTTTACAAATTGTTGCACATATGATACAAGTGGAGTCAACAGTACTTGTAAGTGAGCATTTCCCATCCACATGCGCAGCTGCAATTCCTCAAGCACAGGCCTGAGATGAGAGTGGACTCGCCCTTTCCATACGCCCTTGCAATTGCTCAACACCGCCCGACAGTTGCTCGCTCGTCAAGTTTAATTTTGGGACTTGGGAGGCGGGGATAGTCGCCGAAGCTCGCCTCCTTCGATAGGACACTTTGAACACTCCCTTTCCCATCTGTGATCTTTCAACCACCAAGAGGAGATCGAGACACTTTGGCTTCTCACTTCCCTCATGTTGTCCATCTTTATATGCAGTCTATGGGATCAAGAAAAAGGAAACTGATTTAAACAAAACATCCACAAGGCCAATTGTGCAATGAAGAAAGGCTCTTAGGAGGATGTCAGCATCTCTTCTACACCCAATGTGGGTCACAAATATCTGATAACATAGAGAACAAACAGTGAGGAGCTTATCTTTAAAGATAATGGAAGAAAGCAAACAACCCTGAGACTGAGAGGGAAAGTCAGTGTGTGCATGTGTGCAGTCGATGGTGCTTAAAGTCAATCGACAATCCCACCGATTTTTTTTTACCTGCCTCGTGGGTTTCATATCTCTTTGAAACTGTGCTATCTCTGATTAGAGCTGAGTACTGCTCCATGGTTCCTGGGGTTTAATTCAGTCTGGCTTTGATATGCAGGGTTTGAGCTGCACGGTTCAGCTAGACATTAGCAACATTTTTTTCCCCTCCTTCTCTCCCCACTCACTGTCACATGCGATTCTCCCGGTCCCTCCTCCTCCTTCTCATCTGCTTTCAGCACGGACCTGGATCCTGATTACAGTTGAGGAATAAACGGAGGATTGCAGGAGGAATTGGCCTCAGTCGTTGACTCAGTTGTTCTGAACGAGGCCTTAGATCACACACTAATGATGCTCATCCGAAAAGTTGTCCTCAAGGGGAAATAAATTCATGCTTCTCTTTTTATCTTTTCTTTCCTTTTTCCTTGGTTGGCTTATTGGCCTCATCTCCTCTTCCCACACATCTGATGTTTTGTATGACCCCAACTTTCCCCTCTTCTTTATATTGCAATCACTCACTCCCACTGTCTGTTAATCCCTTTACAACCAGGTCCTCTGCAGTCCCCAGACCCCCAGACAGAAGAACCCTCTAGTGCAGCGCTGGGAGTCCGGCCTGGTCAACGGACACAACGAAGGAGACGACTGAGGAGACGCTGACAGAGCCAAATGAACGAGGGAGGAAGATTTACAAAGGAGGGCTGAAAGGCTGTGATAAAAGAGGAGTGCTGTGTACGGAAAGAGGGAACAGACTTGAGGAGGGAGCCGTGATGAAGAGGAGGACAGAGAGTAAGAATGAGGAGGGGAGAAAGAGGTCAGGGATTTGGGTTTTGAAAGGGGGTCGGGAGGATTGGGAGCACGGGGAACGATTGGTGGTGGACTGAAAAACCCAAAAGAGTCCTTCAGCAAGGAGGAGAGGACAAGGAGGAAGGAGGGCCACCTATTAGTGGATAAGCACTTGGCCTCCTTCTAGTGCTGGATCTCTGAGACTAATGAACTCAAAATGGGAAGAAAAATAATAATGTTACTGCACTGCAACAAAAAAAAGAAAAATGTAAATGTAGTAAGAATGGGATTTTAATGAACTTCTTTACCGTTGGATTTTTGGAATAATAAGGATTTATTATTTGATGATGAACATAGATAAAGTAATACAGCGTCTGGTACAAAAAACTATTTGTCATTCACAGTTTGGTGCTTTTATTAATGATGTTGTACTCTGAGTTACCAGTTTATCACAACTGTGTATTAGCAATGCAATAAATCCAACCTCTGTGCTTCTTATTATTGCTTATTGAAATTTGTTTGACTGTTGTTTGTTCAACTTTGCAGGGCTAGGGTCATGAAGGAGGAGAGAGTTACAACTGTCAACTAATGTCACTGTCAAGTCCCCTTATGAAACCACACTTACATTCACCAGATCTAGATTTTTATTTGTATCTGCACTAAATTGCACAAACTCGCATATATATCGGTCTCCTAAACATGAATCATGAATTATTCTCAGAGAGAAATTAATAAAAGCAAATATGGCAATGATAAAGATTCCTGGATCATTTTCTGAGTTGTTTCTCCACAAAATGTCATAGAAATCAATTATGTCATTTTGGTGTAATCCTAATGAAATAACAAACGCAGGCAAAATAATAAGTCGGCAGAGGTAACAATTATATTAACCACAGCCCCAAAAATGAAACACAAACTTTTACCAACTGAATGTTGTTTATTTAATTTGATCACTATGTGCTTTCAGAGGACACTGGTAACTCAGTGCAGATACTATTACCAACAGCTTCTGTTATTTCATGACTCACAACTTAAAGCTGGATCAAAGTGTAATGAGGAGCATTCTGCTGGATCCAGATCTGATTAATACAACACAAACCTAATGTTGAATAGCTGCTCTGTATCTAACATGGTGCAATAACTGATGTACTTTGGAATGGAACTTGATAAACATATAAAAATCTATCTCCTGTGTTTATTTATATAATGTTAATATGTTTAGTTACAATTGTTTGGTGGGATGAAGGCCACACTGAAGCTGAGTCATTTCTGGAACTGTGTTGTCTCAGTTTCTCCTGTTCCACACAACCCACTGCAAATAATTATCAGATCAACCCTTTATTTAAATTTTTTATTAACCTCATTGTAATTTTCAGAAAAGTACTCAAGTGGTAACTTTTGCTCATGCTACAGACCAACCTTAAACATTTGATGAGGTGACAATATAAGAAAATGACCATAAAGCAATTTAAATTCACCAAATAAGGAAATATTTTGTTATGTGGACTATTAATGAACATTCATTTTGCTCAAGAGGGTCAGGGAGAGGACTAACTCCCTGATAGACCTCTTAAATAGACTATATGGTAAATTAACTGTATTTATATAGCACTCTTCTAGTCTTATAGACCACTGATTGCACATTCATTCATTCACACACACATTCATACACCACCTCTTTAGGCGTCCCATAAAGCTCCAAAAATACTGCTGTTTAATTCTAAATAAGTGTTTTAAGGTGCTGTAATGCTACATAAAAAGAGCTATTAAGACCTCGCTCATATATAAAGAATTCAAAAGCTCATTGTGTTTAATCCTGTTTCACAGCTGGGGGCTCTGACACCTGAAAGGTAATTTGCTGTTTTCTGTGGCTTTTCAATGTGCTCAATCTAAATTTTAGTTTGCAGGCATATCTGAAAAAAGAGGCCCTGATATACCAAATACATAAACCACTTAGTATGTTGTTTGAGCTTTTAAAGTGGGTCCAGGGTCTCCAGGAGCCCAAACACAACATTTATAGTTATAGTGACTATTCATCTCTTTGAGCTGATAAACACAGACTTGACTGCCCTCCATTAGTGAAGCCAAAGCACCTTTATCCACTCCTGGTGGTTGGCTGCAGCACAGGTCATAAATCCCAGCTCCTCCATGTTAGCAGATGGGACATGTACAAGACTAGGAGTCAAAATATACAAGAACACAAATACTTTTTTATCACACTGATTTACGTTCAGTTGCTCATTTCTTTCAGTAAGTTTGCTTAATTGGTTATTTGACATTATAACATTGGGATGAAAAGTCCTGTTTGACATCTAAGACTGCAATTGGTCAAACGCATGTATCCCCAATCATTACTTCTTCTCTTACTGGCTCCAAAAGACGAATTTGGCACTCATTTCTGGACAGCAGTAGGAAGTGACAACTTCTCTTGCATCTCCATATACAGGATAACACCAATGCTGTGCAGGAAATTTATCTCGAGATGTGAAATAAAGAGTTTCTCAGACCGGAATTATCTTTGGGTCTTTAATAGAGCTCTGCAGAGGGTTTCCCACTCAGCATGAATGCTCAGAGTGTAACACCTCGAATAGTGAAAGTGGAAGGTTTTTATACGGGCGGTTAACAGAAAACATAAGAGACAACTGTTTCTGAGTAATAGCATGAAAACTGAAGCCACCTGTAGTCTGTCCGTCTGCACGTACACAAGACAGTTCCTCTTATGCGAGCACAACTGTTTCAGAGTTCAGAGTTATTGTTGAACACAGCACACGAGCATTGGTCAGACATAGGAAAGGGTTCATGTGCTAATTTTCCGTTACAATGCATAACCTAAATGTATCAGATCCTCTGAACAGTTACTGCCCCTCACACTGTCCCTGTGGACCTTCGTGTGTGTGTGTGTGTGTGTGTGTGTGTGTGTGTGTGTGTGTGTGTGTGTGTGTGTGTGTGTGTGTGTGTGTGTGTGNTGTGTGTGTGTGTGTGTGTGTGTGTGTGTGTGAGGGTGAGATCACGCTTTAGTGACCCCCCAATCTCCTGTGAATAATTCATCACCTCATTCTGACTGGACGCAGCCCAGTGACATTATTACAGTGGCGTTGAAGCAGCTTGTATGTACAAAAATTATTAATAAACTTCGTTCCTCACAAAGTCACAATCCTCATTGTGCCATGTTGCCAAGCCTGATGGCACCACACCAAAGGCTATGGCATTAAACTGATGTCTAGTCTGAGAACATATACGGAAATTGAATAGAGCAAATTACATACACTTGCTACAAGAGCAAAGCTTGGCACTGAGACTCTGGATTGTAGAGCTACTTGTTTCTGTTTGGTTGCTTGGATGGAGATCAGAGATATTTTTTTTATACTCACGCTGGCAAACATCAACCCAACCCGTTGAAGAAAACTGTACTTCTTCCAAGTTCCGTCTCTCGCCCTGTTGTCTTATCTGGCCGCTGTTCAGATGTGGTGAACCCAATGATTCACCTGCCCACCCTTCACCTGCTGCGTCATCCAATCAGCATCATGTCACAGTCGCTATTTAGAGGATTAGCCGCTCCGGCCTTTGTCAAGAGGACAACAGTAAGAGTAGAAGTGTGTTTGCATATATTCTAATGAATTGAAATGTGGTTTCATAATATAATATAATGTAATATCATATCAGATCATATCAGATCAAATAAATTCTTTCCATTTGTTGTATGTGTATGTGCAATGAGATCTCACAAAGTACATTCACACAAGCATAGTAATTTAGTTTCATTTCAAGGTACTTCTACTTGAGTTCTGCCATTTAATCCCCTTTCTGCTTTACTACATTTTACAAAACAAACATTAATGTTCTTAATTAAACAGAACCTTGATTTTATCAGAGACAAAGTCATCTTTTTGTCATGATATATGCTCTTCAAACTGATTGCATTTTTTTCCAACTTCTTGAAATGGTTCTGTCTGTACATCCGGACTATCAGTGATTACACCTGGAGGTACGTCCAGGCTGTCATTGCTTAGCTGGACTATAAACGGACATTGTCACAACACCTAATCTTCCTGTTCAAGGGATTTTTTTGTTTATCAAAAAGAATAATGCAAGGTCTTTGGTTGAAAACATCTACAAGCCTCAGGTTTATCTGGTTATTTAAAAAAACAACTCTGGACACTTCGAACAAAGCTGTCTTTATATTTCCTGATGACAGAGATGTGTGGGTCAGTTGGTGAAAAATACCAAAAGGTTAAAAAACCTTTTTAAATACTGTGTTTTTGTATAATTGCCTGAAAATATCACACCCAACGATTCATGTTTCTTCTTTTCTTTGAAATAGAAATCATTGTTCAAGCCACCGCCAGAGAGAGGTGAACCCTCAGAGGGCCTCAAGCTAAAGTGTCTGCAATTAACAGAAATATGAAGAAAGCTCCAGCATTGTCTTTGCCACAGTCTGTTGAAAGCATGAAATGTGTTGCCACCCTAAACCCTCATTTAAATCCTGACTTACTAAATTAATGAAGTGCATTGCATCAGATTAAATGTAATTACATGACCACAAACCGGTAGCCGAAACTTTCTGGGCACATTAGAAAAGCTTTGATTCCAACACACTAAGTCACATTAGTTCTCTGTGTACACTCCTTTAGCTAATGGAGACTCAGCGTGTGCTGGCATTAAAAGGGCAATTATCATGAGTTCCAAGATTGCAAATGTCATTTATTATCCACCTGATGCACATGGAGAGACACCCAGGGCGAGGCCAGCATGATGAGCGTGCAAACCGAGGTGCCACTTGCGTTAGTCAGCGCGATGAAGTCACATGTCAAAGGCATCGATACTCTGCCTCTTATTCAAACAAATCTGCCTTTTGCTGTAATGAATGTCTTCACTGCGTGTGCACGCAGAGTGAACAATGACCTGCACGTGAACAAGAGCAAGACAAACCAAACAAACTTAAATTCATATCTCATCTGGGTTTTTTCTACTCCATGGACAAAAAGAGAATAAATGCTTTTCCTGTATGTATGTGTGCCGCTGATACACAACTGTGTCCTGCTATAGAGGCCAGTTAAGTGTAATAAAACCCTGTACTAATAAAGAGTTGGCTATCTGCTGCTTCCTGAATTGCAGTGCCAAGCCTTCTTTGCTGAGCATAACAAGATTACAAAGGGATGTGTGTATGTGTGAGTCCACTTTCTTTCACATCATACTGAGGTCTCAGTGAACTTATTTACAATATAAAAACAGGTATAACAGCTCAAACTTAAAGTCCTCAGGTTGATGCATGGCTGAACCTCAGCTGCTGCATCATACCTCTGCTGCCTTTTTTTAATTTTTTTTCTTTTTTTTAAACATTAGATTCACCAGGGTTACTTGTCTTCATATTGTTCCACAGAACACAGGACCTGTTCTGTCCTTCATGCCGTTCTGTGCCTCAGGTGCGTTTGTGACATTCAGATGAAATATAAATGGTGCCCTCTGCAGAGTATTCAGTAAAACTGCAGCAGTTTAATGTGTCATGTCCTGGCCCCAGATTATTCACTTAGAATCTGCCTTGAACATCAATTT